TGATGTTGATATTATTGGCATTGGATATTGTTAATTGACTCATCAGTATATTTCATGCACACTCAAGACTTTTGATATCTGTCTTAAATGAATTGTAATGGTTGGAATGTCAATGGTATGTCACAGCGCATCCGTTTTATTTGCTGTTGCTAATGCACTTGACTTCTGTGAACTGTTTTGAGCAGAATGTATCTGTGGAAAATGTGCTATATAAACAGACTGACTCTTAACCATGACTGATAAAGCAGCAGGCATGGCGTGGGCATGGAAACTCACAACAACATTGCTCCCACTGGGATTTCAGACAGCACACACATTTTCCTGCCTGCTCTGTGCTGGCACCATTATTCCACACAGCTGCAGGGAAGTTAAGGGAGCAGCTATGGCTGAGGATGAGCCATAAAGATGCCCAAATCAGAACCAGAATCAAAGGCAGAGGGAAACTTTATTTTATCCATATTGGATCAGAGCCTTAGCTAAATTTAGGTATCTGTTAGACCAAAACCATGAAAGTGGCTGTAAAAATGAAGAAAAAGAAAACAGTTATATTCCTCATCTAGGCTGCGTATGCATTACTGGCTTAAAATGCAGCTAGGTTGTGGTTTTTCTCAAATTGGATCAAAGCTGTTCAGGCGAAAACCACAGCAAAACACAGTATTTCCAGTGCTGTGTTCTTTAATATGTTTTTAGTTTACTGCTGATTTTTTGGGGGGGAAGTTTAAATTGTTGTTTTAAACTGTTTTTAACCAATAGTTTTATAGTCCCACCCCCCTGTAAACTGTTTTGAGTTTGAGTTTTTTATTTATTTTTCATTTACAGTTGAGCAGTGTAGAAATTTTGTGAATTAAATAAAAATAAATGACAGGATAGTTACAGGATAGATACAGATTGTGGATAATGTCCCATATATAACCGTCTTCCAAACTAGAAGGGAGGATGCACTGGATACAGAGAAAACAGAAGTGTGTACACAGCCTTAAGTCAATGGTGTGTTGTTTTTCAAATTTGATTTTGACGAACTGATTGTAATTGGAATAGATCACAGTCATATAGAACCAAGCTTATTTATTTTTTAAAAATACGTTTTGGATCAGCCAGACTTATGCATGTTACCATTGTCAATGGATGGAAATTAGGATAGAGGCTTTCCGATTAAAAATGGCATTCCATTTTAGAAACTATGAAGATAAAGAGTCTGGTGGGAGAAAATACATCACTTCTGCAATTACAGTGTCTGCAACGCTGGTATCTAATGAGGTCCCTGCCTCCATCACACCTCAGATATTGCTGTATTTCAGTTCCCATCACCTCTTGATTATTGGCCATGCTCATTGGGGTTGATGAGAGTTGCAATCCATGAACATTTGGAGTCACCATGTTGACTACTTTGAAATGCTAGCCTGGAAAATAACCTATAGCCACTGATTAAATGTGTGTGTGAAATGTTGGATTTGGAAATGAAGTTCTGAAATGTCACGGGAGTGAAGTGGCAGGGCTTCTAGAGAACCAAAGCAAATAGTCTTGGGCAAGGTGTCTCTGTCAGCAGAGATCTCCTAATCTCCATTGCTGTTGACTACATGGACTAGAGTCTAGTCCATACTATAGAAATGCTTTGTTTATTACTGTTTTCCCCTTTCCTCAACTTTAATCTAAAGTTGATGTGGCAAGAGAGAGAGAGATGGAGAGACTCAGCAGGGGAGAATGCACACCTGTCTGACTGGGCACAAACCAGGCACAAGTTGTTTCTTTTGTGGCTTCTCCTGAATGTCACAAAGGGACCTTAATGTTTCTGTTAACAGCTAGTAAGATGAGCCAAACTTCCTGCTTTCAGGCTTCCTTACTTATGTGGACTGAATGGCTTTACCTCTACTGTCTTACTTTGAAATGCTAGCCTGGAAAATAACCTATAGCCACTGATTAAATGTGTGTGTGAAATGTTGGATTTGGAAATGAAGTTCTGAAATGTCACAGGAGTGAAGTGGCAGGGCTTCTAGAGAACCAAAGCAAACAGTCTTGGGCAAGGTGTCTCTGTCATCAGAGATCTCCTAATCTCCATTGCTGTCATAGACATAAAAATGATCTTAAACAACAGGAAAAGGTGAATAAATTCCCGCGATAGGCATGAATCACAGTTCTTCCAAGAGAGAGCACCTGGTGGCATTTTGAGAAGTTTGAGGGCCACTTTCCTCACAGCTCACTTTTCAGAGATGACGCTTGGACTGGATTCATAATCAAAGATTTGGGATGGTATCTAATGCTACTCCTACTCAGAGTAGACCCACTGAAGTGTTTTGGCATTTCTAAATTTAGTGCACTGATTTCAATGGGTCTACTCTAAATATAATCGTATTGGATGCAACCCTGCGTGTACTAAAAGTGCCAAACACCTGCCATAGTTCTCACATTCAATAAATACTGAATTTTTGGCATCTGCTGAAAAATTCATTTTTATACAAGCCTACCCAGATGCTTATAAAGTTGAGATGTTTCTAATCTGTTTTAGTAGTTTAACTTCTCTGTGTTTTAAAGTATGGTTGTGAGGTTTTAATTTTACTGGTTTTTCTTTTGTATACTGCTCTGATTTAAAAATAATAATTCAAGAAATGTATATATTTTGTTAGATAGATAGATAGATAGATAGATAGATAATGGCAAGTTGTGGTTTTTCTGTTCATTCCCCTCTCCTATAAAGAGCCAACACTAAAAGTGACACTGATACTGCAATGTAAAGTCCAAATTTGACTTTCTGCATTAAGTGACATATAATAATTCTCAGTCAGAGAGCTAATATTTCTGTGGACACAAATGCGATTTGTTTTTTTCTATTACAGAGGTGTCAGAATGTTTGGGAAATCTACATTTCAAACATTTCCTGTTTCGTATGGTCACTTCTCACCTCTTTCCTTAGTACCCATGGAAAGCCTTTCTACTTTGAACCTTTTGTTATCTGAGGCAGCATCTCTATTTCCCCCCTGACCCTTTCATATTAAATGTTTGTAATATATTCAGTGTTTTAATGTTTGACATTTTATAAATAATAATATTAAATAATAAATAATAATATTATTAATAGATAGATGATGATGAGATAGACAGATGATAGATAGATGATAGATAGATAGATAGATAGATAGATAGATAGATAGATAGATAGATGATAGATGATACATAGGTAACTTTGGTACTAGTATCAAAACATACAAAAGCTAAAATATACAGAGTGGTACCCAACATCAGTCTAACTTAGGTCTATGGGTTATTGGATATTGCCTGCATTCCATACAAAAGCTACTTTACTGTAAGGTAGAATTTGCAATAGGCAGAACATTTAACCATTTGAATTGGTCATAACTGAGTGACAAACAGTTTTTTATAAAGACAACTACTGGGCTGCATATTTTATTCAAAGGTAGGATTTCCTACATAGAAGAAGAAGAGGAGGAGGAGGAGGAGGAGAAGTTTGGATTTGATATCCCTCTTTATCACTACCCTAAGGAGTCTCAAAGCAGCTAACATTCTCCTTTTCCCTTCCTCCCCAACACTCTATGAGGTGAGTGGGGCTGAGAGACTTCAGAGAAGTGTGACTAGCTCAAGGTCACCCAGCAGCTGCATGTGGAGGAGTGGGGAAGCGAACCCAGTTCACCAGATTACGAGACTACCACTCTTAACCGCTACACCACACTGGCTGAAGTGTTCAGTACTCCTATGAATCCAAGCATGGAACATGAGAGAGACATGTCAGCTGGACAACAGTTCAATAGGCTGAGGTATTATTAGGGGGTTTTGTTGGGTTGGTTGTTGCTGTTGTTGCTGTTACCTTTTTGTATCTTCATTTTGTATCTTATGATTGGTGTATAAATTGTTTGATTCAGTACGTACCTTTTGATGTTTTGTTTGTTGTTATGATATGTTTGTAGTTATGTAATTTTTCATATGTTCTCAGCCACTTTGAGTATGGTTTTAACCTTGGAAAGGCAGCGTGCAAATAAAGTGATTGGCTGACTGATCATTTACATTTTTTTATGGACCTCTGTCTAACATGGTTCCTTGGAGCCATTCCAAACTGCAGGGCAAATGACCCATCACTTGGTCTCCTGAAGATGCAGATAAAACTTAAGACCTTGAGCTTCCAGTGAAAAGATTAATTTTGGTAAGAAAATATGAAATGTGCATTTCCTGACGAATGACTGAAACAAACAAACAAAAGATGGAGTGTGCAGAAGGTACTGGGGCAACTGACATCTTCAGTCAAAGTAATGTATTTGATTCATTTTTCTTCAGGTAAAAGCAAAGTTTGCCCAGCAAGGGAACCATCTGCTTCAGCCTTAGAATTGACAAATAGCTAATTATCTTTTTCTCCCGTAACAACAAATCAGCGGGGGTGGCTTGTGCAACCTGCATACAGCATGGACTCTTCTGATTCATGTTGCTTAATAAATGCGTATTAAGCATTTGTCCTCTTTCGAACAAATGAGACAAAATGTGGTGTGCCAAGTCAGAGCAGAGACAGGCATAAGAAATGCATTCATGTGTGTATGTCTTGCGCAACCAAATCTGGGTGGGGTCATGCAGATCACTGATATGCCATGTTTACATGGTAGTAGATGGAATTTAAATTTATCCTGAGTTCAAATTAGATGCCAGGATAGACAGAGCCTGATTTCAGAAATCCAACAATATTATGGACTTTGCAGAGTAACCCCTATGTCCAGAGGGTGAAACTCATTTCTTTCTCATATTTGTATCTTGATTTTTGCCCAGCAGAATCCCCCACTATTGCAATAACCAACCAACCAACCAATTTCAAAGTAAAATAAAAATAAAAATGGAGCAGCTACAACTATATAAATGTATACATCCCTGGTTTACCCTATTCCTCCACCAAGTTGTTCAGGGTGGTCTATATGGCAAGTACAGTGGTATCTCGGGATACATACGCTTCAGGTTACATACGCTTCAGGTTACAGATTCCGCTAACCCAGAAATAGTGCTTCAGGTTAAGAACTTTGCTTCAGGATGAGAACAGAAATCATGCTCCGGCGGTGCGGCGGCAGCGGGAGGCCTCATTAGCTAAAGTGGTGCTTCAGGTTAAGAACAGTTTCAGGTTAGAACGGACCTCTGGAACGAATTAAGTACTTAACCCAAGGTACCACTGTATCTCATATTTGTTGGCATCCATCTGTTTTGAGAGACAATGGAGTGTGCCTCCAGGGGTGAAGTCAAACCACTATGTTAGCAGCACTGAAGTGACCTCCTTGGGCTCAAGCCAGGGCAGTGTGTATGGATGTCTTGGTTTGCCAAACAACAAGACTCCTCTCTTGACCTCCATGATCTAATACTCTGTTCAGCTATAACATACTGACCATAATATTCTGATACAGCAAGCACCATAATCAAAATTGCAGGGTGAGGAATCCAGTGGTACTGCTCTACTAAAACGCTTCTAACTTACAGTCAGTTGTGCATTTCCACCTCTACAGAAGCACAGGAGATGTGAAATTATGTTATCCTGTGTTTATCCCAGCTAGTGAGAAATTAAGGAAAGAACTCCTGGTCTTGTAGCAACCCAAATTCAAACACTCATTGAATCCTGGCAGCATATGAGTGTTTGAATTGATTAGCCTTCATCCCACCCCCCTATTTTCCCTCCACTAATGGACACACACATGCCACCTTGATAAACAAAGCATCCCTCTCTCACACACACAGACACCAAATTCTTTGGGAGGAAACCCCAACCCTTCAATAAGCAAAGAAAACAGATTTTAATTAACCTCGATTCAAAGAAAATCCTACAGAAATCAACAGAACAAGCCAGTAGCAAGTACGATTTCATTAATTTCAATTGCATTTAAGTATCAACATTTCTCTCTGGATCAGGGTCATTATTTAGAATTTGGTAGCTGCTGTTTCCCAATAAAATTATTGGCATTAAAAGTTTCAATTGTGAGTAGGATTAAGCCAAACATTCCAACAGAGCTGAACATCACAGCAAAGAGCATTGTTACACGGAAGAAGAAATAAGTCTAAGAAAGAGTAATTTAGCCTATACTAATTTGTTGTACCATCATGATATTCTGTATATTAATAAAAATAAGGAAGCAGAATTACTAGCACAACCCTACCCCAAAGTAACCCCCACTGTGACTGGGATTTACTCCCAGTGATAAAGGCAAAGGTACCCCTGCCCGTACAGGCCAGTCTTGACAGACTCTAGGGTTGTGCGCTCATCTCACTCTATAGGCCCGAAGCCAGTGCTGTCCGCAGACACTTCCGGGTCACGTGGCCAGCGTGACAAGCTGCATCTGGCGAGCCAGCGCAGCACGCGGAACGCCGTTTACCTTCCCGCTGGTAAGCGGTCCCTATTTATCTACTTGCACCCGGGGGTGCTTTCGAACTGCTAGGTTGGCAGGCGCTGGGACCGAACGACGGGAGCGCACCCCGCTGCGGGGATTCGAACCACCGACCATGCAATCGGCAAGTCCTAGGCGCTGAGGTTTTACCCACAGCGCCACCTGCGTCCTTTTATCACTCCCAGTGATAAAATTATCACTGTGATAATTACTCCCAAATAAGTATGTATATGACTACATCCCTAATTTCTTCTGAGTTCAGCTCCAAATGTCCTTTATGGCCAGAATCACTGCTAAAAACAGAATTAAATCATGTACACTGTAGACCAGCAGATTCATTCACATAATTTATTGCATAGCCTCCTGCAACTAAAGCTTTGCCTGTGCACCACAAACCATTAAGTGTTAGTTAACTGTGCATATGCACTCTACAGATAGCTCAGAGAGATATTCATTGTGTTATAAAATGCCACTGCCAAGTTCACTGGATGGGAACAAATGTGGTTTTAAGTACAAATGTATTTTTGCCTTGCTGATAAGAGTTATGCATTTAAAAAGTGCTTTAAAGAAACCCAAACATTATTGTTAAAGTGTGATCCTGTGCATGTCTACTTAGAAGTGAGACCCACCAATTTCAATTTGTCTTCCTCCCAGGCTAAGTGCGTAGAGGATAGTATCTTTAGTGCACTTATTTGTGAATTTCTAAAAGACTCACAACAAGGTAGCATACTTTACATTAAAGCAATCTACAATGCACTTAAAGTCAAAACAACGAAAGCACTCATAAACGAACTACAATCTCACAAAGTTACAGCAGCAGAAGAATAAAAAGGATTGAGAAACCTCCAAAAGTCCAAGAGGGGGCCAAGTGTGAAAAATCTTTAGGAGTCGGGAATTACAAAGCCATGAAAAAACGGTCCCCGTCCTTCTAGTCAGCATTGTGACTGCAGTATGATGAACAATGGAGGCTAGTCTTCAAAGGTTAATGAGGCACTGCCGCACCAACCTCAGTCTGCCCCCAACCAACCCCCTGCCCCCAGCCTGCTTCTTACATCTTGTCCAGGAGGCAGTGCTAGCCACAATCTCCTTCCGCCTATCACATTGCCTTTTGGACACTCAACAGTGAGGAAGATGGAGAGATAATGAGAATTAGTTGGCTCCATTGATAGTAGTAAGGTAAAGGACCCCTGGACGGTTAAGTCCGGTCAAAGGCGACTATGGGGTTGCAGCGCTCATCTCGCTTTTAGGCCAAGCGAGCCAGCGTTTGTCCACAGACAGTTTTCCCGGTCATGACTGAACTGCTTCTGGCACAACAGAACACCGTGACGGAAACCAGAGCACAGGGAAACACCATTTACCTTCCCACCACAGTGCTACCTATTTACCTACTTGCACTGGCATGCTTTCGAACTGCTAGGTTGGAAGGAGCTGGGACAGAGCAACGGGAGCTCACCCCATCGTGGGGATCCAAACTGCCGACCTTCTGATTGGCAAGCCCAAGTGGCTCAGTGGTATAGACCACAGCGCCACCCGTGTCAAAATTTATTGTAGGCTTTGGGTACACCTCCTGTTGGACTCCTTTGCCTTCGTCAGTACCGGTTCCAATGGCCACTACCTACCACTGATGGATGATGAGTCACACAACATCAGTTTCCATGTGTGTCACAGCCTCTTTATTGGGGAGCAGATGTTCCCTTACAATATCCTGGTCTCCCCCAAACTTGGAGACAGTTCAGCAGTCAATGCCTTGGTTGCTGTGAGTCCACCATGTTGACATACAGACTTCCAAAAGATATCAGGCCAGTCTTTCAAAGGCAAAACACATGAATGCAATTTATTTAGGCGCAATTACCCAGTAGCCGCTCTGGTTCGCCAGAAGCAGCTTAGTCATGTTGGCCACATGAACCGGAAGCTGTACGCCGGCTCCCTCGGCCAATAAGGCGAGACGAGCGCTGCAACCCCAGAGTCGGCCACGACTGGACCTAATGGTCAGGGGTCCCTTTACCCTTTACCTTTACTTTACCCAGTAGTAAACCCCAAGAGTACCAGGACTTACTTCTGAGTAGACACATGCATAGGAGTGCAGCGTTAGTTTACATCGCCACGTTTTCTGCAGTCAGCATTGTTTCACCGTTGCTTGCAACGTCGGAGCAAGCATATTTCCCAAAGATAAATGGAATATGCATCATTTTCAAGAGTGTTTTTTCTGTGGCAGACAGATCACAGCATGATACTGCTGATCATCAGCTCTCTCCTGCCTGCACCGTCCTGGCCTCCCTCAATAAAGGGACAAAGAATTGTCAGGAAAGCAGAACCAGACCAGAAAATACAGCGACAACAGCAACCATAACACTTCACCTCATCTCATGTTTTAGTAAAAATTAAGGGGATCAGATGCGGATGGCATGAGCAGCGATGCCAATAAAATCATTGACTGGAAGACACTTACCATATTTATTGATGACACTGGGCCAATGCTATTAACATAAATGTCAACATCAATGACAGTTGGTTTCACTGTGAAAGAAAGAAAGAAAAAAAGCAGCATTTAATAGTGCCCTGGAGACAACACAGGGCATCATGTTTAACATTTCTGTAATTATAGCCTTCCCATCTCAAATCTGTTTTGAAACAACAGCACAGCACAGACCATTTCCTCCCCCTCCAAGAACTCTTTTAAAATCCTCTCTCTCTTTTTAAGCAACAGCTTAGGAATGAATTCACATTGTGTATATTCTGGCATACAGGACTCTGTAGTCCTCCTTTCTTCCTCTCTGGAGCTACATTTGGAGCGTAGAACTCCATAACTCAATGAAGGGGGCTCCCTTTATGGGTTGGCTTCCTCACCATCAGCCAGTCCCTCAGTCCATCTGCATCTCCTCCTGCTCCCACCCTCTGGATGGAAGACCCTGAAACTGACTCAATCTGCCAGGGATCAAAAGAGACATTGTATCATGGAAAGCTTAGAGGACATACCAATCGGAAAGCTAAACATGAACTTTATCGTTTCTCTTTCAGAGGGTTGTTTGCTGTGTTGAAATGTTGTGACTATTTGTGGAATCTACGGTAATTTGTTTGCGTTGTAGAGTTTAAAATACCGTGCTACATTGACTGATAGCTTGCTTTACTGGGCATAATTGGAAACTGCTTTGTGACCATTCGGTGGTGAAAAGCACGATGCAAATGTTGGAAATAAAACAAATAAATACCAATAAAAGAAAAGTAATTGGATACTTCTGCCTCTGCCTAGACACAACTAAATCCAGTGCCACCTAGTGACTAAACTATATATAGTATCACTAGCCACACAGGCTGTGAATACACCATACATTCGAAGTTCATTTAAAGTACACAAACAACCCAAGAATCTTGCAGACTGGAGTTTACCTCACACAGCTGTACAATTCCGAGCACCCTTAAAAATTAAAGTTCCCAGGAAATTTGGGGTGTGTGTGTTTTAAATGTGCTTTAAATGCAGAGTGCATATACAGAAATAGACTACCATAGACACCTCCACATAAGGGCTGAAACAGAATGCCCCACCCCCATTTTCCTATAGTATTTTGGGGCTGGGAAATGGGGTGGAAACTTGGCCTATTTGTCCCTGTTTCATAAACCTGGTGTGGTCTCTTATAGTAATGCCCCCGACTTTAGAAGCTATCGATTGGCTTCAGGGAGACTCCCAAGGTAATGCAGAGGCTGATTGAAAAAGGGCAGCCTTGTAGAAATAGCCCCACTAGCACTGCTTTATCTGGTGCAGTTTTTTAAAGCAGACGGAGCAGATGGCAGCCCTCTGTTACCTGGAATCACCCTCCCCTCAGACAGCATGAGACCAGGGTGGCTGGGAGGTGGCCTCACAGTAGGTATAATTCACCATTGAATCACAATAAAAATGAGAATAGAATTTACTGCTGCACTAAAACATTATAATAACAAAGGGAGGGTTAAGTAAATATTGTGCCATGAAATATATATATATATGGTCATGAATTCTGCCAAATACTATTGATCAGTCTACTGATGATAATGACAGTGCAAGAAATGCCTTGATCCACTTGAATAATTTTGCTTGGTCCATGAAGCTTGGCAGCAGTACATGGCTTGTAAGATGCATTAGCATAGGTAAAGGTAAAGGACCCCTGGATGGTTAAGTCCAGTCAAAGGTGACTATGGGGTTGCAGCGCTCATCTTGCTTTCAGGCCAAGGGAGCTGACGTTTGTCTGCAGACAGCTTTCTGGGTCATGTGGCCAGCATGACTAAACAGCTTCTGGGACAACGGAGGACCGTGATGAAATCCAGAGTGCACGGAAACACTGTTTACCTTCCCGCCACAGCGGTACCTATTTATCTACTTGCACTGGCGTGCTTTTGAACTGCTAGGTTGGCAGGAGTTGGAACAGAGCAATGGGAGCTCACCCCATCGTGGAGATTCAACCCGCCAACCTTCTGATTGGCAAGCCCAAGAGGCTCAGTGGTTTAGACCACAGCGCCACCCATGTCCCTCTTGATTAGGTAGAGTGGCTATGCAAGGAGTCTTCATGTTCAGAATGGGACATGTTCTGAATACCAGCAACCAGGGACAAACAGGTTTTCTCTCTCTTGCCCTGCTTGTGAGCTTCCTTGGCTAGCCATGGGGGATGCTAGATGAACTGTGGGTCTGATTCAGCATGGCAATTCTTGCATTCCTCATTTGTACCTGTGATGATGTACACACATCCCAAGATGCTTGAATAAACCTTGCGTAGTTCAAAATACTAATGATCTTGCAGGCACATAAAACATAAATGAGGGGGGGAAAGCTTTCAAATATTTCTGTTTGTAAATCCCATTGGTTAGATTTACATGACTAGCATTAATTACGGCAGTGAATGAAATGATTTCATGGGAACTGTACTAGTGAAATATAAAATCTCAAATGTGGGAAAGTGTTGGATTTCAACCGTGAAGACATGGGTTCAGATTCCTGTTTATTCATGTCACAGAGATCAGTGGGTAGCCTTGGGCAGGTTGCTATTTCTTAGCTTAACCTATCCCAGAGGGTTGCTGTGAGCATAAAATGGTGAGCTCCTGAGAGGCAGAAGAAACACAAATAGACCAGGGTTCACTTTGCTTCCAATTGGGTATGACGTTTCTCCCCCGTCTTCTGCAGTTTGAACTTGTGCGTATTTCTAAAACTTGACATTGCCGGTCAGTTTAAAAAATAGCAAGAAGAGAATGGAACCAAGAATCTGAAATATCCTTTAATTTATAATGATACAATACAGTGTAGAAATATTTTTCCATGCAAGCCTTTTGGCCATCTAATTAAAAGTTAGAAATTTGAATTCAGACTAAATGTAGGGTGGACATGGATGAATTTCAGTCTTTCTGAAACTTTACGTAATTGCTGACAAGTCATATATTGGGGGGAAAGATGAGTAAAAACTAACTGAAGGGTTTTAAAATAATAATAATCCAGTAGCTGGATTCAAGTTGTTCTCATCTGTAGAGTTGAATAAAGACTGTTCTGGGACAATTTGGGAGAGTTAATTAAATCCAGAAACTCACGCTGAACCCAAAGAATAGCCTCAGATGAACTGAAGCCCTGGCTTCAGCAATCAAAAACGGAAAACGGAACAAATACGACTGATTAATCAATGTAACCCTGATTGTAACGCAACTGAAAACAAATGACAATCTTCCTGCTGCTCCTCTTAAGAGGAGAAGTTGCAAAATGAAATAATTGAGGGACCTCTAGAAATCCATAATAGGTGTAATTTTAAGAAGTATTGCATGGACCGGGGGGAAGCAGAGGGCAGAACAATGTAGACAGATCACAATCAAAGCGTCTGTGAATCTCCGAATCCGTTCCTCTTGAACTGGGGCAGTGTGAACTTTATGACACCTGTTGTGTTGTCAAGAATTCAAACATCTTGAAGAACTTACAATAGGATGCAAAAGAAGGCATGGCTCAATGGGCCCTGCTCTCTTCACGTGTTGAAAGTGGGAAGACAAGGCCCCTAGATTGAGTCCCTGGAGTTCTCGATCACTCTCCCAGACTATACAGAAGGGAAGGGGGAAATGGCTGTGCCTTCCTCCTCAACTTTGGATTGAGCCCCAGGGTTTGGAAGATGGAAAAGAGGCTAGAGGAAAACTGAAAAACATGGCATTTCCGCTTGAGAGCAGTGGTAGCCAATGTGGTGCTTTCCTGATGTTGCTGGACTTCAACTTCCATCATCTGCCCTGACCATTGGGCATGCTGGCTGCAACTGGTGCAAGCTGTAGTCCAACAGCTTCTGGAGGACACAGTGACTGATGGACTAAATGGCTTATGGACCAAAGGGAAGCCCATTGAGGCCCACAGGCCATAGGTTCCCTACCACTAAGTTAGCCCCCTCCTTCTAACTTGGTGTCTACTGCTCTGCCCTCCCTTTTTTTTAGGTATCATCCTTTTCTCTTGATTCCTTGCAGGGGGTTGGACTCGATGGCCTCTGGTATCCCTTCCAACTCTATGATTCTAAGCTCAGCACGTTGTTCCTGCCCGACCTATCTGCCCCAATTCTCTCTGCCTTCTGTGGATTTAACCAGAAGCTGTTGGACCAGTCTGAAAGCTGTTACTTGACATTTCTATTTCTGTAATAAACCATGCATTTGATTACACTTGGCACTGGCTCCTTGTCTCATTGCTAATCCTCCCTATTAGGAAGGCTTAGCTATGCAATTGTATACCATGATTCTTGGTCCAGGACCCTTCTATACACATGCAATCAGTGAAACTTGTAGACGACAGTACAAGGTAATACATGGTTTTCCTGGAACTTGCATATGTCACTGAAGAAGAAGAAGAAGAAGAAGAAGAAGAAGAAGAAGAAGAAGAAGAGGAAGAAGAAGAAGAAGAGTAGTTTGGATTCAATATCCCGCTTTATCACTACCCAAAGGAGTCTCAAAGCGGCAAACATTCTCCTTTCCCTTCCTCCCCCACAACAAACACTCTGTGAGGTGAGTGGGGCTGAGAGACTTCAGAGAAGTGTGACTGGCCCAAGGTCACCCAGCAGCTGCATGTGGAGGAGCGGAGACGCGAACCCGGTTCCCCAGATTACGAGACTATCGCTCTTAACCACTACACCACACTGGCTAGAACTATCTGCTTGCAGATGGAATCTCCCTGCAGAGTACTAGAGAGGTACCACAGTGGAAAATCAGTTTGATACATTCTTTAAACAAAAGAAAAGCCCTGCTAGATCAGAACAAAAAGCTATCTAGCCAAGCATCCTGCTTTTCCAGAGTTTCTACCCAGATGCCTATGGGAAGGCCAGAGTCATGTCATATTGAAATGATCTAGGACCGGGTGGCTAACTTGTGGCACCAACACCCAGATGTTGCTGAACTACAACTCCCATCATTCCTGTCATTGACCATTCTTCCTAAGGTGGCTGGGAGTTGGATTCCAGCAACATCTAGGGGTTCACCAGTTCTCCACCCCAATTAGAACTTCTACTCCTTCAATGTGCCAAACAAAGACTATAGTGTAAGAAAGGTGAGCATGTAATTACTTCCCCACTTAAGGAAAATAGACACACAAAGGATTAGTTCTATCAAATGTTCCAGCTGGGCAGAGGTGGGGAACTTGTGGTCCACCAGATATTGTTGGCACCAATTCCCATCAGCCCTTGCCAATTTGGCAAGTGGTCATGAACAATGGGAGTTGCAGTCTAGCAACAACTGGAAGGTCATAGATTCCCCATCCATTCAGTTGGGTGACACAATAGAGTAGTCAAAAATGCATATTTTTAAAGGCTTTATTTTAGTCATGGGTCTGGAGCCTTCTGTCATGAGACAGAGGTCATTCCCCACAGTCATATTGCCTAGTGGGCCGGTAGAATAATGTTCATGCTAGCTCTTCTCAAATCTGTCAGTCAGATTGTAAATGGATCTCTAGCTCTCCAGTGTTTCTTTGTCAGAGGGATCAGACAAAAATAGTTTGAAAGTGCTGTCAGCAACCATAACATTTACATGTATATCATAGGTGGAAGAATGATTAAAGGATGTCAGCAAAGATATCAGCCTTCTCAAATCAACCTCTTTGAAACAGTTCTTAACGCAGGGTGGTTATTTTCCATGAAAAAAGGGGGGGGGAGGAAATGTGTCCAAATTTCAACACTGCCAGGCTGACATCTGGTAGCACCAAATGACAAATGTTTAGAGCTGTCTAGTTGTTTGTCACATACGTTGTAATATCCAAGCATTCTGTTTCTAATTAAGAAGGCCATTGATGAAACTAATGAAAACATGAATAAAGGTTATCCTGGTTATTTGGAGAGCTGGCAAAATACATCTGACAATTTCCACTAAGCACAAATCTTGTAGCTGTAAATCAAGGGGATAAATTCTGCCTCCATGTGCGCCAGCACAAATCTACAGCAGCCTCCCTGGATTTGACAGTATTTCGCTTTCCTGTTTGAATTCTTTTGCAACACATTTAATAGATTACATATCGAAAATGATTAAGACTTTGGCATATCTGTTCTGTTTCATGGAAAGCCCACAGGGGTAGAAAGATGCCTAATGGGTTTTTTAAAAGGGGGGAGATTTCATCTAAAACTGCAATATGATGATGCACATATTTGTGATCACCAAAGCACATAAAATAATGAACATAACCATTGGTCTCCACTGAGTGCCTTGGCCTGCTGAGTGCCTTACATCTCCCTGCATCCCCACCTTGAATGCTCTGTGGCCTGCATAAGAGGGGACAATTCAAAGGCCACATTGTGAATCAATGAATGACAGGGGGCTCCTCGGAAAGCCTGTGGGGAAGAAGAAAGGGGTGGGGAGTCAACTGCGCAGTACTTCCAGGAGTTAGTAGAGTCACAATGGTGAGCAGTTAGTTCTCTAAGGCACTGCTTTGGTGGGGGCAGGGGAGCCTTCGCTCAGCAACACAGTAGATGCTTTGCATGAAGGAGCCCTGAAGTTCAGTGGATGATGAAAAGAGATCTGCTGGAGATCTTAGGGCGCTGCTGTCCGTCAGAGTACACAATGCTGAGCTAGATGAGCCAATATTCTAACAGTATAAACGTAAAGGGACCCCTGGCAGTTAAGTCCAGTCGCAAATGACTCTGGGGTTGTGGTGCTCATCTCACTTTTCAGGCCGAGGGAGCTGGTGTTTGTCTGCTCCACAGACAGTTTTTCCAGGTCATGTGGCCAGCATGACTACACTGCTTCTGGCGCAACAGAACAGTGACACCAAAGCAGTGCATGGAAACGCCGTTTACCTTCCCACCAGAGTGGTACCTATTTATCTACTTGCACTTTGGGGCATTCTTTCAAACTGCTAGGTTGGCAGGAGCTGGGACTGAGCAAAGGGAGCTCACCCCGTCGTGGGGATTCAAACCACCAACCTTTTGATCGGCAAGCCCAAGGCTCAGTGGCTTGGACCACAAATCCGACACTGGTCCCTCTAACAGTATAACGCACCCTAATATGCCATGTACGGAGGAGGGATAAATTTGATTCAGTTAGCATTTAAATGGGAACTTGCCAAGTTCACAATTTCTGGAACAAAGCATGAAGCAAAACACACAGCTCAGTTGGTAGAACTTGAGACTCTTAATCTCAAGGCTGTGGGTTTGATCCCCCTGTTGGATGAAAGGTTCCTGCATTGCATGGGGTAGGATTAGATCTTCCTCACGATCCCTTCCAACTCCATGATTCAATGATCCAAGCTATGATTCCATGATTCAAGCAAAACACGGCCATCCTTCAATATTCACACTTCTCTGAATTTTACAATGCAGTTCTCCAGCCAAGTAATACGTACAAAAGTGCATATACTAATGGAAAGTGTGCATAGAAATGAAAATAACATACAGAAATCCGTTCAATTTGGGAAATTCCTTTCCGAAAAAGTGCATTAAGAAGGGTGTGCAGAAGAGGAGGGGATGTTAGCTTCATAAGTGGGTGGGATGGGTGTGAGGAGGAACATGTAGGAGGTTATGGGGATGATGGTGAAAACTGATGCAAAGAGGGGCTGTAGAACAGAAGAGAGAAGGGGCTGCAGAAATGGGATTGGGGAGGTGAAAAGAAATCTTAGTAGATGCATGGGGTGGGAAGGGGGAACTTTAGAGGGGTTGTGTGTTATGTGAGTGGCAGGGGGTTGAGTGGAGTGCACGGGGATCCAGCCCCTAGTAAACAGATAAAAATGAATCTGATCTAGAAGAGAATCCCTGAAACAATTATATGATATTAAATGATAATAGTCATAGTAATAATAAATCATTGCTACCTCAAATTTCTTACTTAACTTAGTCATGACCCTTTTCAATCTGCTTTACCCTTCTTCTCAATGAAGCAGAAGCTTAATACAGTTTCTAATTATCTTTCCTTGGCAAAAAGAATCAAGGGTTTTATTCCATTCTTATTCTTTTTAAGCCTTTCTGCTTCCTTTGACAGTCACTCATCCTGTTCTTCTTGCTTTAGCCCTGGTTCCTGGGGTCCTCTCCTGGATTGCATTCATTTTTATCTTCCTATTGAAATTTTAGTGTTTCTGTTGACAGTTCTGTCTGCAAGGGCTTTTCAGAGTTTTGTCCTTCGGCTCCTTCTGTACGCTCACTAATGGTCAGAGAATGTCCTGCACATGACCCACTTTGAGCCAGTTTTATGGCCTTGCGAAAGGTTATTTCTTCCTTCTTCAGACATTGCATTATTATACTTCAGGGGGTCGGGGGGTCGGGAGAGATGTTGGTACTTCAAATATCTTACTGGTGACATATTTTGGTACAGCTGAAGAAAACCTGCTAGCTCCAATCTCAGTGGCACAGGAGCCCAACTTCTCGCCGATGAAAAGATATATCTAACTTGGGACATGATTCTCGTCCGAAACGTAACATCATTAAGGCTGAGATTTTGGACTTGTCCCAAGATTAAATTATGGAAAACAATCTTTAATCACATTAGGGACATGCCTGATTTAGATGTATCAAGGTCATCCTACTAGGATATCTAAAAGAAGCAATTCAAAAACCAGATGGAGAATTTATATTGGATTTATTAGCAGCAGCTAAATTGAACGTAATCCCCATATTGTAAAAGGATGCACTTTCTATTTCTACGCAATTCTGCTGTTGTTGAAGAGGTGGAATATAGCAATACTGATGATGTGAAACTGACATACTATGTAAGAGTATGCATAAACACATTTACAGAGTAGATCTTTGGTGTGCAATAGAATGACAAACATGGCAATAAAGCTAAACCACATTATAATGCCTGTTATTTAAATTATAACAGTTTTATTTCAGATTTTAAACCAGAATCAGATGTAAACAATTAGTCTGATCCTGTTTACTCAGATGTAAGTCAATTGGGCTTCCCTGAAATGCCTCATGTATAACACACACATATGAATCTCCTTTACACATCAAATAAAGCAGTACTGGCTTTCTCTAAAAGCTGTTATTCTGTTTTAATTGGAGAACCAATTCTGGGTTGTGTATGAAAATACACCTGGACATATGCAAACAAGCACTACAGCATCATTAGTCCTAATTGGCAATTCATTAAAACTGTGGGTAAGATGCTATGCAAGTCCTCTAAGACTATCTAGAGTATATAACACTAATTATTGGAAATGTGAAAAGGACAGGAGTGTCTGGTGGTGGGGAAGTACCAGCAAGATATTATGTTGGGATATTTGGGATACATAGGTACCAAAGGACAAAAAAAGCTATTTTTCTTTATGACTGCAGTAGCATGGATAACTTATAAAAAGTATTAGAAGAAGAAAAAATACCACCAGCACCTATGTGATTAAAAGAATGGTATATTGAAGTGTTGGAATTTGCTCTGAGTGCTCACTGGAAGGACAGATCCTGAAGCTGAGGCTCCAATACTTTGGCCACCTCATGAGAAGAGAAGACTCCGTGTAAAAGACCCTGATGTTGGGAAAGATGGAGGGCACAAGGAGAAGGGGACGACAGAGGACGAGATGGTTGGATAGTGTTCTCAAAGCTACCAGCATGAGTTTGACCAAACTGCGGGAGGCAGTGGAAGACAGGAGTGCCTGGCATGCTCTGGTCCATGGGGTCACGAAGAGTCGGACACGACTAAACAACAACAACATATTGAAGTGTTGGAATTTGCTACATTAAGCAAGACTACTTGGATCCTATGGGTCAGGCTATGCACTGAGTCCATGGGAAGGAAAAGGGTCTCACTGACCTCATTTTTTCCTACAGGAGGGATCCAGTACTTAGGCTTCTACAACAAATGTAGAACACACATACCAGGTCAATGTGTGACCTGACATTCAGTTTGTGAGTTTAGCCACATTGTTCTGAAATCAAATGACCAGTGAGGATCAAAAGTCGGGCATGCCAGGTTAATGCATCCGGGCAGCAGAATGGGCACTGAACCAACTTATAAGGTGGTTCTCCACAAGAGTAATGTTTTTATTTATTTATTGAATTTGATAGTCACTTTATCTTGCCCAAAGCGATGTACTACCAGCCACACAAAAACCCCAACAACCCACATACATAATAAAATTCAATAAAAACATATAACTGTAACATCCACGAAACAGCAGAACCGGTATTAAAAATACTACAAGCCCATGAATACATGGACAAATAAATAAGGGAGCAATACACACACACACACACACACACACACACACACACGCGCGCGCGATCTGCAGGGGCTTCACTGAGTTGTGGGGATGCTGTTGCATCCTCAGCCCTGCTGAAATGGCAAGGCAGACTTCTCTTTGCACCAGCCTTATTCTGGCACAGTAACCAGACCCACATTGGGCCCAATGAGAACAACTGGGTCAGCTAAGGATCAAATGCCCATTGAAAGGCTTCTTATAGGGCTTTCTGTTAGCAACCACAGCAGGACGATGGGGAGGTGGAAGAGAATACCGGTGAGGGATATAACTGGAACAGGACACACCAGGACAAGCAGGGGAGGGGGAAGGAAATACTCACAGGGTGACGGAGGATAGCGAGGGGCTGGGGGTCAATGCACAGGACCCATCAGCAGAGCTGGGGGTGGGTCTGTCTCCATGAACACGGCGGGCTTTGAGGTGTAGGGAGCCGCAAGATGGGAGCTCTAGGAGGCTGAGGCAGGCCAGGGCCCACAGCCCAGCTTCCTAGCTGGCCAGGTGGGGCTCGCTAGCTCTGGGAGGAGGTGTGTGATTCCTCAGCTCAGAACAGGGGAGGGCCACCTGTCTCATTAAGTCCAGGTGCTGCAATCAGCCTGCAAAGGGATTTGCAGAGGGAAGCAGAGCTGGCTTGCTGTGTCTGCTCAGCTGTTCATATTGATTGACCTTTGCTTGGATGTTCTGGACCTCTGTGGAACTGTGCTTTGGGTTTGATTCTGGACTGTGCCCTGACCGCTGGACTACTTGGATTGACCCTGGACTGAGTTTCCTGACCCTTTGGACTTTGCTTGTGTGGATTTGAACTTTGGATTTGACATACTGGCTTGCTGCCAGGTAGGCCAGGGGTTCAGGACCCACTACTGGGAAGGTGCCCCCAATATCAATGGGTTAATCAATGGATCAATCAATCAATCAAAATACCACCAGCCGTATTTCTGCCTGCCCGTTTAGGGTGGACAGAAGAGGAAACTGAGCATATTTCTGCAGGTGACCAGGGGGATACTAACCAGGACACCTTTAGCCCATCCAACCCCCACACCTTCAAGAGAGACACAAAGGGGAATTGGATTGCCCTATAGGTCTTTTTCAACCGGCAGAATGCAAACACACTTGTTGCTCACCCAGATCTCTGGACCTACATTAAGTTAATAATAAAGTTACCGTTTATATGACCAGAAATTCATTCATTTTCTTAAAGTATAAATTCATTTTAATAGCTATTTCTATTTATATTCCCAAATGTGCTTAATACCTACATTAATAATTATCTAAATTGGCCAAGCTTTTCCATGTGAATTTTACAATTTGATTCTATTACGTGGCTGTAAGAAGAGGTTTAATTTTATTTTGTCAGTATCATTGGTACCTAAATTTAATAATCGATCGCACCTTGCCTCATCATGCCCTGCTGAATTACGTTTGTCCTACTTGTGGATTAATCATTAACCGAATCTTCTCTTGTGTGTTATGTGATAATTTCCCTAACACCTTATAAATTTATTTTTGTTTCATTTGTCTCCACATTTTACAATTAATCAAGTCCTACCTCATGAATTTTGTCTCATGAAATTTCTGTATAATCTAATAAAACGCCCTTTTGAAATATATATGGTTTCTTCTTCTTCTTTACAATTTGCTGTTAGAGCTCTCCACGTTCTGCAATTACTTGAATCTTATTTTATGAACTTAAGCTGATAAATTACTCTTAATGGGCAATATCTAACATGGACGTGATGGGATTTCCCTTTCCTCTCCTCTTTTCTGCAGCCCCCGCTTCTGCTCTTGTAGAGATTTTGGGGGTGTGAGGAGATGCAGCAGAGATGGAAGGGAGCAGGAGAGAATGAAGTCTTGCTTGCATTAGAAGGTTCATTGCACAACACTCTGACACCGTCAGATGTCACACAGTGCCTTTCACATTTTTCCTACGGTGTACACCACATTGCGTTTCATTTATATAAACCATTTTGTGGCTTTTGGAGTGTCTGGCATGCCTGATACATTACGTTCCTAAGTCAAAGGCCAGGGTCCCAAGCAATGTGGGTGATGTTTTTCTTGTGCATTGTGGCTTTTCGCTTTTGCCTTCAACCATCCTACCCCACCCCCGAATAAACCAGGGCATCCAGAGTGACTGGGTTTCCAATTATTTCAAGTCCATCCACAACCCACACACCACCTTGTTGTTCTTTTTCATTGTTCTGGAGTGCCTTTGTTAGCTACCGCCTTGAGGCATCAAAATGGGATATAAATAGAAAATAATCAGGTGCAATTCAGTTCATCAAAAGTGCTGTATTCCACAGGCATTTCTAAGCACAAAGAGCACTTGAAAATATAGATTATCTGCTTTTATACACCTCACTGGCATTCATATTTGAATCCCTATTTAAAATGCATGACTGGTTGCTGACTTCTTTTTAAAAAGCACAACTATATTAGTTGACATTTCTTTATCTTCTCTTCCATTTATTTCGCTTCTCTTTTCTATACCATGATATATTTTGCATTAAACTCACACAACGTGGCTCATTGAAAATCCTACCACACTTGGAAATATTCTCTCTTTTTTAGGGAAAAGGCTATGTCTAATTGCTTGTTTTTATTGAAGAAATATAGTCATGTTCCACAGAGCCAGGGGGAAAAAATCCCTTGCAGCACAGTCCAGCTTATGTTTGTTTACTCAAAAGCAAATCTCACTGTGTCCAACAGGGCTAATGGGACACTTAAGGGAACACAGACACTTAAGGAAACACAGGATTACAGCCATAGGGAACAGGAAATTAATGAAAATCCAGTTGTTTTCAAAGGGCCTCACTTCTTATTTTGACTTTTAGTGATATTGTGCTCTTAGCTGTGCATACAGTACTACACTGACACCTAGTGACATAAACCAAGCAGTACAACTAATCATTAGCAGAGCAAAAAAAGAGAATGGGATCGTTCTGAAAGCTGGCTGTTTTGTGTTGCATACACGCAATGGAATGTTTCCCCACAAATTGGTTTTTGAAACGCACCTTAAATGCATAAGTGGTTTGTGTGTGTTTTTTGTAATCCAAATAATTTTTATTGATTTTCATGTAAATACAAGAACAACATACAACTGCAGTAACTTGGAGAATGTCCAGTGGTACGTTCTTATTAAGTTTCATATGCTGTACACACGCAATATGTTTATTTATGCATTGTCAATTCAAGTATCCTCTCCACAGAGATTCTTGTGTTATGGGCAGAATAAAAGTATATTCTGTCTCATTTATAAAGGAAAAGAATGGAAGCCAGGTCTTGCCAAAAGTGTCTATCTCTGAAGTGCCTTTAATTACTCTTCTATGGCGAGTAAGGCCTTCTGACAGAACCGCATTCCAAATATTATTTACGCAGGTTTCAATGAGGATTTCTATAGGTTGTTTCCATAATTCTTAATTGGGCTGCTGATAATAGAAAAAATACTAATTCTCTGCATTTGAGGTTATTGTTTAAGTTTGAGTCTAAGAATAACGAGGCAAGAGCTGAATTGGGTGGAAGGGATTGATGAGCAATTTTGAAAATAATCTGGAACACCTTTTCCCAAAAGGAGTATACCAACGTGCGTGAAAATATGAGCCTATCTCTCTGCAGCTGTTCCAGCATAGGGGAGAGATGGTAGTGTTTATTTTGGCTAGACGTGATGGATTCCAGTGCCAGCAAAATATAATTTTGAGAGAAGCCTCCTGCAAATGAGCAGAGATTGTTTGTAGGGACGGGTTGTGCCAAATTGATTGCCATTTATTATCTGCAATTATGATCCCTAAGTTTCTTTTCCATACTGTCCAGAGACCTCCTGTATCACCTGCATATTGTTCTAAAAGAATGCTATAGATTAAAGACGCAGCTCCTTTTTTGCCATATTTTGATTTGTTACATAGAGACTCAAATGATGTAAGAGAGCAAAGGCGTTCCAAGTAGCTTGCAAATGTGCACAACTGAATAGACTGAAAGCAGGTTAACTGGTTTGCTATGGAACAAGTTTTGAGATGTCATAGTTGCTGTTTGACAATTACAAGCCAAAGAAACCTTCTTGGGTGATGGTTGTGTGGTTCTTTATATCCCAACTAAAGAGAACGAGGGAGCAGGCAGAGAAGGGGAATGAAGCATGCATTCCAATTCAAAGAGGATACAACTAAAAGATTTTTTGAAATTAAGTAACGGGACAAAGAAAACTGCATGTAAAAATATATATATTGTGTTTAAACTTGTCTATCTTTTAATGCATTATATGTTTTAGAAATGCTATACAGTGGTACCTCGAGTTACAAAGGCCTCAGGTTACAAATGCTTCAGGTTACAAACTCCGCTAACCTGGAAGAGTTACCTCAAGTTGAGAACTTTGCCCCAGGATGAGAACGGAAATCGTGTGCCGGCGGCGCAGCGGCAGCAGGAGGCCCCATTAGTGAAAGCACGCCTCTAGTTAAGAACAGTTTCAGGTTAAGAATGGACCTCCGGAACGAATTAAGTTCATAACTAGAGGTACCACTGTATTGTATTTATATGATTAATTACATCATAGCTTATGAAACTAGAGAATTCCCCTCCAATAGCAGAGGCATAGGAGCTAGCCATGTGACTTTGGTGCTTGGCAGAAAATCAAATGGCCCTCGGTTTAGCACCTGGTTCAGCTCCTCTGTATGACCTTTGCCTTTTCTGCCAATATGCAATGTATTTAATGTTTTATCCCTTACCCAAGAAATCAAACTAAAACATCAAAAATAAAAGACAGCTTAAAGTTTAAACTGAAGCAATAAAATGATGAAATGTCAAACTCCTTCCTCCCCAAATTCTCACCTGAATGATATTGATGTTATTTGGCACCAGAAATATAAAAGAGAAGGCAGCGCACAAATCTTTCTGAGGAGGAGTTCCAAAACCTAAATGTCACTGCCGCAAGGTCCAGTCTCCAGTTGCCATCTGCCTAATGCCTGATGGCACACAGGAAAGCTTCTGTTGAAAATTATAGCATATGGTCAGGTTGATATGGAAAAAGGCGGATCTTTGGATAGCCTGACCATTGAAGGCTTTTGTAAGTCAATGCCTGCACTCTGAATCGAACCCGGAAAAAGACCTAGACGCCAGATTTTTAAGCGCTTGGAATGTTGTGGTCAGATCAGCAAGTCTCAGTTAATAATCTGGCCCTTTGATTCTGCATCAAATGCTTCAAAGACAGCCCTATGTCTAAGAGTTAGATAACTGTAATGGTTACCAAAGAATGGAAGGAGGTAGCAAAATTAGTAGCCCTTAGTTCTAACCCATGCTCAGTTGGATTTCTCCTGAGTTTTCCTCCATCTTTGCACCATCCCAGCCATAGCTGTCAACTTTTCCCTTTTTTAAGGGAAATTCCCTTATTCCGAATAGGATTCCTCGCAAGAAAAGGGAAAAGTTGACAGCTATGATCCCAGCTGCTTTATCATGCCAAGCTCCCTAGGAAGCAGGTTGGGATCTAGTCAGTGGGAGTTGGTCTTTGATCATCATTTCCTTATCCCATTGATCAATCAGGACTTCATCAGGAGTGACAACTGTGTCAGCTGGAAATTCTCCCAAAGGTACCAAGAGACTGTCAATTTGCCTCTGGGAGAAGAGCAGCCTAACTGGTCCTCTTCTGTAGAGGTTTGAAGGTCCTATGTCTCTAAATCTTACCAAACAGTAATTTATCAATGAAAAAGAAATTGTGAATATGCCCCCCACTGGAATTTCAGCTGGCTGAGAACACTAAATCAAGTGTTACAGGTCATCATGTCACTAGAGCCCAACTAACTTTAGTATAGTCTCATTGCTTTCAAGGTAGCCATGGAGTCCTGAGCTATTCCTAACAAAGGAGCTCAATATGGATGTTGAAGTACTCCAGTACCACACTCCAAGGGATCTCTCCCCCCCCCACCAGGTCCAAAATTATCTCTGCCAGCTCAGAAAATGTATCTGTTGGCCAGCATGATGGGCAGTAGGCCTGGGCAATATATCGCTATATCATCCGAAACCAGTTTGAAGTCCATATTGTGAGGCCAGTTTCTTAATTTTTGACCTGGCAATATATTGTGAATCATGTTGTACATGTGTGAGCTTGCTATGCAAAAATCACAATGCGGGAAAAACCATGGAGCCAGCCAATGCCTCTACATAGCTCCATCCCTATTTCATTCATTGTGATATATCAGTATATAGTGATTTTTAGCTGGTGATATATTGTGATGTTGAAAGCCAGATATCGCCCAGCCCTAATGGGCAGCATACCAATGGATGACAGCACATCCTGTCTTTGGTACCCAAGTATCAGTTGCATGAGTTCAAAAGTTGGGCTTTTTCCAATAGAAGACATGGAGAAGAAGATGGAATCCCTTTAAACCACAGCAACAATGATGATTCACTTTCCTACCATTATGCTGGCATTTGCAAGGATCATCATCATCATCATAATAAATAATAATTTTTTATTTATACCCCGCCCTCCCCAGCCAAGGCCAGGCTCAGAGCAGCTTACAAGCAATAATAAAAACAAGTTGAATGATTACAACTTAAAAACAAAATTAAAATACATTAAAATATTGAAACATTAAAATATTAAAATGTAGCCTCCTCGCAGGAGAAGGAAAAGAAAAAAGAAAGAGAGGGAAGGAATCAAATTGGCTCCAAGCCAAAGGCCAGGGGGAACAACTTTGTCTTACAGGCCCTGCGGAAAGAAATCAGATCCTGCAGGGCCCTGGTCTCATGAGGCAGAGTGTTCCACCAGGCCAGAGCCAGAGTTGAAAAGGCCCTGGCTCTGGTTGAAGCTAATCTAACTTCCTTAGGGCCCAGGACCACTAGGGTGTTGCTATTTATGGACCTTGAGGCTCTCCGTGGGGCATACCGGGAGAGGCGGTCCCGTAGGTACGAGGGTCCTAGGCCGTGAAGGGCTTTAAAGGTCAAAAGCAGCACCTTAAATCTGACCCTGTACTTCACCGGGAGCCAGTGCAGCTTGAAAAGCACTGGATGAATATGCTCCCATGGCAGAGACCCAGTGAGGAGCCTCGCTGCAGCATTCTGCACCCGCTGGAGTTTCTAGGACAGCTTCAAGGGCAGCCCTGCGTAGAGCGAATTATAGTAGTCAAGCCTGGAGATGACCATCGCATGGATCACTGCTTCACAAAAACTAGGCTGCTGTTTATTGGAGTTATTTAAGTATCTCAATATACAGTCCAGAGTTATATGGACTTTCCTACCCTGTCTGTTGGAATATATGAGATGTCAAATAATTTGACTCCTTGATCTAAGCCAAGATTTATGATTGCATGCTGAGAGATAATGGGAATTATTTTGCCAACGGATCTTTCAGCATTGGGGAAAATGTGTAACCACAGCTAACATTATGGAAACTCACTTTATTATTAGGTAGTTCCCTGTAGAATCATAACGTGATTTATTCTCCTCATTCCAGGCCTGTGTGGGAGAGATGATTTATTTCCAGAGTTTGTGACCTGGGGACAAGCTGCCCAGCATAAAACGAAATAGCACTTCCAAAATTTAGCTGCAGGTGTTGCTATTGGCTGTGAACCATGTTATTGTTCAAACTTTAAGAGCTCCATTCGATCAGGTGTTGAAAGCTCTTTATGCCTAGCATGACGCACCCATGAAATTGAAATATTAACAGCTTTTCTTCTAACACTGGATTTTACTATGCAAGGTTGTGTTAGCAGTGAACTAAGACGGGCTGAGTTCAATTAGTAACCAATTGCCTTTAGTTGAAGCAGCTGGGTTATACAAGCAGGGAAATAAAAAACAACCCTTAAAACAAAACAAAAAACCCACACCATATAGGCTATGGATACAGCTAGACTACTTGTATATTGAAGAAGAAGAAGAAGAGTTTGGATTTGATATCCCGCCTTTCACTCCCTTTAAGGAGTCTCAAAGCGGCTAACATTCTCCTTTCCCTTCCTCCCCCACAGCAAACACTCTGTGAGGTGAGTGGGGCTGAGAGACTTCAAAGAAGTGTGACTGGCCCAAGGTCACCCAGCAGCTGCAGGTGGAGGAGCGGAGACGCGAACCCGGTTCCCCAGATTACAAGACTACCGCTCTTAACCACTACACCACACTGGCTCTCTGGCACACTGGCTATTGAACATTCATCCTGATTTGTTTGCCGGGGGATAAGAGGACATTGGCTATTTGATGAGAATTCATTGCAATTTGTTTGCGGGGAGGTTAGATAATGCTGCATCCAAGTGTTATCCCACACTTTTAAGTGCATTTTCCTGTCGCTTGCTTTTTGAAAAACGTCTGATCTTTGAGGGAAGTAGTTTAGTTGCACACGATCGTTCTGATAATCTTAATGCATGAAAGGGTTAATACCATAGAGTAAGCTGTCCTGCCAGGCTTAGCTTACCTTGGGAGGGACCAAGTAATTAAGCTTTTGATCCCTCAATCTACCTGAGAACCTCAGCCTCTGAAGCGGTTAAACTGGACAGATTTTCCGTAAGCCAAACATGTAGTCTTTTTCTATGTTAAGGGAAGAGGAAAGTTTTGGAACTCACAAGGGCATATATTAAAGCCTAGATTTCCACGCTTTAGTTTGCTGCATGTGGTACATGGGGTGTTAGAGAATGGCTACGACTGGCCGGCTAAACCAGGTGAGGGTAGCTGATGGATCTCAAACCCTCAGTGAGTTAAGGACTTCCTCTGCATACAAAGACAGGCTCTGGCAGATTGAGCAGATGAGACCATTGGTGGATCCAACAATCAAGAAGGTGGTTTCTGCATATACAGGTAAATGGGGCTTGCCAACATGGGAAGGTGGCTTCTAAGAAAAGAAAAAATTGGATCCTAAACCTCTGCAGAATATCTTTACGAAAAGAAAAGGCTAGGGAGTGAACCCTACCCAAATCCAGAATAGGTGGTGCCTTGTACGCCTGTTTCCAGCGATTCCTGCAGCTAAGCTAGTGTCATATGTATTGTTCTGCTTTGCTTTGGACCACATCAGTGAGGCTGAGAGAGGTCTTGACATCTGGGCAACCCAGGACTGCCCAGACATGTGCCTTGGGGAGGTCACTTCAATGCTGCAAACGCAGTGATTTGATTTCACCCCCAGAGGCACACTCCATTGTCTCTTGAGACAGAAGGATGCCAACAACATTACTCAGTTTCCAGAAAAAGGGGTGCTGGAACTCAACATGAACACCTCCCGTATTCTCTTATAATGGCAATGGTGCCCACCTGAGAGGTGCCGGAACTGAGTTCTGCCTGAAAAAGAGCCCTGATTTTACTGCATATGTTGTGGATTTAAAATCTTTGCTGGGGTTCCCGCACCAAAGAGTACTCTCCCCCAACCAGGATTTTGTCATACAGGAATTCTCCTTTCATAGCTATTTTTCCCTTGAACCATCAGAAATGTGCTATACTCTTCTTCTACTCTACGCTCCAGGCAGCTAGTGGTGCTAACTCTAAGTTATTGCTTAGAACGGCAGAATTACTGCATGCAGGTGCCTAACCTAGGTGTGTCTGGGAGCCTGCTCTCATCCACAAATCACTTCCTGAGTCTTTATCTGCATACGTTGGCCTGATTCAATACAAATTAATTCCAGTTGCACAGCACCTCATAAACAAAATAAACTCGAGTGTTTTCAAACAAAAACAAATGGCTAAAAAGTAAAATGCATTACAGCCCATTCCTCACACCTGGGTTACTGTCAGCACACCAGATCTATTCCTTGAATCAGGGATCTGTGAATCTAGGGATGCAAAAAGCTTGTTAAGGCAAATCATTTTCTGCCTGCTACCTGTTTAGAGGGTTTTGTTTATTCTGGCTTGCAGCCCAGAAGTTGGACCTGACAGTCTTTTAGCCTTTTCCATCTCATATGATTCTACAAGGCTGTTCCCGATTTGTTCATCCATGCTTAATAATGGGTTCTGAGCTCCTCTGCCCAAGCCACTGCAAATGGGCCCTGTCTTAATTCAGTTATCTGAGAAGGACTTGTGGATCAATTTGCAAAGCTGCTACAGGAGTTTTCTGTCTGGAGAGATGTGCTGCTTTTTGCTAAAATTCTTGCACAATGGATCTTTCCTTCCTCTGTTCCCTCTGACTGCCAGGGGCTGGGCAGAGAAGGAGGAGTGGTGGTGACCGCATCCCCATCCTGACCCTTCCAGGCAGGAGGAAGAAGAGAAAAACAGTATAGATTTACAACAGTGGTTTGCTGGAGGTCACAGCTCAGAGGCAGATGAGGGGGAAAGCTGGGAAATAATGGGAGAGGAGGAGCAGAGACAGAGCAGCAGCTGGCTGACAAGTTGTCACTAGAAAGCATTCCAGACCCACCATCTCCAAGAACCCAGCAGGCCTTAAAAGTAGGAGAGCAAAGAGCTCGAAGACAGAGGGCACTTAGTGGCACCACCCATAGAGGAGATGATGAGGATAAGGAATGAGGAAGTGGGAAAGTCGGGGGGATAGAGATTCGCTCAGAACAATGCCATTATCTAAGAGGCTGGGTTCTATAGCCTCTCTCTGTAAAGTTTGAAATAAAAAGGACTGTAAGAAACTTTTCCTTGTCTTTATACATCCCTGGGCAACCAGCTGCTGACAGCATCCTGACACTGACCCCCTGTATGTTCACACACACACACAGAGGAAAACTTTATCCAGAGGATTGAAAGGAAGCTACCAAATACTATGTCTTATGAGGTTGCATTGGGAGGGAGAAACTAACCAAAATCAGGTAGCAAGAATTTGCCTTTCAATACATTCTATGAATAATACTTTAAGAAGGGGGGAGGATTCTTAACCTGGCCACTTTTCTGTTGGAAAGAAAATGCAGCTGGAAGACTCCCGATTTGGAATGCATTTCTGATATGGGTTGGGGCCCCAGCTCTTATTTGTTGACAAATGTGCTTTTAACTTCCAAGAAGTTGCGGTGAAGGCCTACTCCACTGCTTCTCGTGTATCCTTGAAAAATCACCCTGTAGGTCACTGTGTTCTGCAGATGAGTTTCTCCTGAAAGTCCCCAGAATATGAGAAGCCAACTCCACAATAATTCAGAGCAGGGATTTCAGTATGACTGCCCCTTTTGTGTGGAACAGCATCCCTGTCACGATAAGGCAGGTGTCCACTATCTGGCTTTGAATTTTTTGGTTCATCCACCTTTTCTATCCGAATGAAAAGGTCTCAGTCTTTGGTTTTCATTTCGTTTTGTTTTGTTTTTTTAAAAAAAACAACATATTGGGGAAGGAAGTTGTACTGTTTATAAAACTATTTTTAGCTGGTTTTATTATACGTCAGTAAATCGTCTTGGGACAAATATAAAAGGAGATTCATAAATTAATGTGATGATGACGAATCTCCCCCCTGCAGCCTGCTGTGGCAGATACACTGTCCCTGAACATCTAAGTTTTCAGATGTTACCCTCTGCTGGTGAAAGGCATCCCTCAGCCGAAGAAGGATGAAGACTATTTTTCGTGTTCTACCCTGCACCCCAGTCCACTGAAAATCTACTCTGGAGGATTGGGGATTCTTCCTGGCAGAGTTTCAGGGCTGGCAGAGGGCTGCAGTTGGAGCAGGAATTTCCCAACTATCCCACCCGCTCAGTTCCACTAACATACGCCTTCTGTCAGTGGGGTGGACTGTCATGTGACAAAGGTATTTGAGAGCAGAAGCAGTAACGGTAGCAGTAAAGGAGTCTAGAAATGTTGTGAAATGCTGAAAAGCTGCAGAATCACTTAGCATGCTGAATCACTGTGACTCATCTTGGGGATGACTCATTCTCTGTATAAGTATTGTATCTGCTTGCAGGGAGACTCAATGCCTTACTCAGTGTGTGTGTGTGAGTGTGTGTGTGTCTGTGTCTCAGTCTCAGTGTGTGGTGGAGCCTGTGCTCAGTGGAAACTGTGTATGCTCTGAAGCTAGCTTACTCTTCTGTTCACTATGCTGTTATTTGCAAACAAGTTTATTTTAACTCAGTAAAGCTTTTATTCTTTTACTGAAGAAGACTCTACATTATTAATTTACGCTGCGCATCAGGAACATCCAATGGAGGCCACCCTCTGTTCTTAGATGTCATGGTTATACCTACATATATAGCTATAGATGTATCTTCTGTGAATTAATCCTAATCCCTTTTAAGATCCATCTAAATTAATGCATGTTATCACATCAGTGATAGTGAATTGCAGAAGTTAATTAACTATACAATCTGTCTTGTCCTTAAACTACTACCTATCAACTTCCTTATGTACCCAAATTCTAGTATTATGACAGAGGGATTAAAATGTCTCAGCTATTCACTCTCTTCTCACTCCATAGTTTTATAGATCTCCATAGTATCAGTCATCTTGTTTCCCAAACTAAAAAGCACTCGGACAGCTTAACTTTTCACGCAAGGGAAGATGGTCTAGCCTTGTGATCATTTCAGTTGACCTTTTCTGTATTTTCCCAGCTTTCCAACAGTTTTTGAGATAGGGAAGCCAAAGTGTACTATTAAAAAGTCTAAATGCACCCATTTTATAAAATGTGTATATTTTTATTATGTTGCAAACAGCACAATCTTATTATGCATGTCTACTCAAAGGTTAGTCTCGCTGAGTTCAATGATGCACTACTATATATAATTATAGCCTTACCATTTTATTTTCGTACTATTTACTGATTGCCCAGTGCCTCGTATACAATCCAATTTCTACTACGGGTTGTAGTCAGCCTGAACCAAAACACATTGGTCTCTATGTACGCCTCTGATCATGCACATTGGTTACTAAAACAAAAAGAAAATACGGACACAGCCATCTGCAATAGGATATATCCATTACAGAAAATTAAAGGGAAAGAAAGCACTCACTTCCAATGTCTGGCCGCAGCTTTTTATCATATTCTCTCAGCAACTTGTTTAACAACAGTGTCACGTCAGTGTCATGCGTTTTTGGAGACATTACCCATTTTTGGTTTGTCGTGAAATCTTCAAAGTCATCCTCTTCAACCTTTCTTGAGCTGCAATTCAAAACATAAACCATAGGACAGTGTCACATGAGGAAGGGCAGTGCAATGCCTCTATTTCCTCCATAATTCAGTCATTTCATGGGGAGCATTCAGAGTTATTTGTTTTTCCCATTAAAAGAAGGGGGGGAAATCAAAGGATGTGCTAACTGCCACAGATGAAAGTCTAAGTAGGACACTCTAATGGAAAATAATTGAATAGTCTTCTATCATTACTTCTCGCTAGATGGTGAATCTAGGGACAAATGCCACTTTTCTTCTATATCAGTGTGATGAGCTATTTTGTGTAGTTTTTAACTTGCAGTAGCAGCCTGAGGTGGTGGAAGAACACCCTGCAGAACTCCAAATCTAGCTTCTTTAACACATGCTTCCTCATCTCTTGCCCAGGAAGAAAGTGAAGGAGGGAGGATTAGTTATTTTAATATTTCCTGATCATGTCACCCTGTTAAAAAGTCATTATATATCCTCAGCATTTCGGAGTTCAGGTATTTAATGTAGCATGTTTGAAAATAAGATAAAAGTATCCTGGACACATTGGCTTCAATCCAAAGATAAATTAACTGAAGGAGCCTCATGGAAGGAATGTTTCCAGTCACCCAAGTCTTCTTGCAGCCACACAGGCCCTCTCTGGATTCTTGGGTGGGGGTCCTCCTGGGCAACATGGAATGGGGCAGAGGGCATGAACTTCCCCACCATGAACCTCATTCAGTTAACTCATATTAGGATCCACATCTGAACTGGAATGCTTTCCCCTGCTGCTCCAGCAGCCCCTCATCCCACATCCCACATCCCACATTATTCTGGAGTTTTCCCTCTGCCACTGCCCCCCAGTACTCCAAAGAGTGTTTTTTGGGGTCAGAATCAGCACTAGGTGAACAAATACAGTGATACCTCGGGTTACAGACACTTCAGGTTACAGATGCTTCAGGTTACAGACTATACTAACCCAGAAATAGTACCTCAGGTTAAGAACTTTGCTTCAGAATGAGAACAGAAATCACGTGTGGTGGTGCAGCGGCAGTGGGAAGCCCCATTAGCTAAAGTGGTACCTCAGGTTAAAAACAGTTTCAGGTTAAGAATGGACCTCCAGAATGAATTAAGTTTTGTAGTCTGACTACATATAACACAACTTCTTGTGTTCTTTGCTAAAAGCATGGTGAATCTTGTTTCCATTTGAGGCATATTAAAAGTATACATTTCAAAGTAGAAATAGATGAACGTATTCCCAGGGACCAACTTAAATGTATAGTGTATACCCTCACAATAGTAGTACTAGTAATAATAATAATAATAATAATAATAATAATAATAATAATAATAATTGTACCCCACCCATCTGACTGGGTTCCCCCAGCCACTCTTGATGGCTTCAAGAATATACAGAAGCATCATTAAACATTAAAAACTTCCCTATACGGGGTTGCCTTTAGATGTCTTCTAAAGGTTGTATTGTTACTTATCTCATTGGCATCTGATGGGAGGGCCATTCCACAGGGTGGGTGCCACCACTGAGAAGGCCCTCTGCCTGGTTCCCTGTAACCTCACAGTGAGGGAATGGAAAGCCATGCTTTGCGTGTGTGGTTTCTCTCCTCTGTGTTCCATGTCACTTTGCATGATAGGGCAGCCAGTGATGGCTGGTGGCCGTTAGGTCTGGTAGGGTAGAAGATGTGGAGGCCCACAGGAAGCAAAGCCAGATCTGGGTGCTAGAAGCTTGCTCTGCTCACAGTGTAAACTGAGATGGATCTTGGTGGATAAACCTGTGGTGGGTCCAGTAAAGTGGATGCCATTTCTGAGTCCCTGTTTAGGTGTTTGCTTGAAAGTCCCAGAACTCCCTCCTGTCTGGGGGCTGGAGGAGTTAAGAGGAGGAGGTTGGTTGCAGCAATTACCAGATAGTTTGGGTCGTGATTGGCCTATTTCTCAAGGCAGTTGTGGGAGAAGCAGGCTTTCCTAGCCCTCCTCTTTCTTTACATGTACAATGTTACAAAATTTTGATCTTGCTCATTTCCTTTCCTCCAGCTTGTTTACCTCTCCTCTCTTTGTAACTCTCCTGGGGTGTTGGGTTATGGTAGATTTCCATATTTGTTAACCTGCTCATTATGTCAGGGAGTTTGCTGCAGCATCCTTTCATTTATACGATGCACCGGCAAGCAATTGGACATGAGTACAGCCTAAGTTATATTACAGTTTAATACGTCTGGGATATATGAACTATTTTTTTTTTAATACAAAAAACCAAAAATGTGGAAGGAATCTGTGTTTCATTGCTCATGGCACTTATTTCTAAGCCTTATTGTAGTTTCTCCCTCCCTCTCTCTCTCCGGTGATGACACTCATGATTTGTCAAGGTACATTAAATGAATTATTTTCTTTCGGAGGTGAGTTATTAAAGGCTACAAGGCAAATTCCATCTGTATTCAGCTGCAGCCAGTGCAACTCCATTGCATGCAGAGTAGTTCTGGGTTGAGTTGCACCTTGAGTACATATCAACTGCTAGATTCCTGTTTTCTTTTGGACAGGTTTCTCCACAGTGAAATCACAACCCAACCTGAGTCCCATTCTGCTCCTAGAAGTGGATTTAGGGCAGTGTGACTAGTTCCACCACACTGGGCGCCGAGCCTAGGGGGTGCTGTGGGGTGTCACAGCTATGACATGGTGAATTTAAAGAGCAATGAGAGGGGTTGTTGAAGAGGAATTAACTTGATTTGGAGCAGGAGCTGATGAAAAAATTAATAGAGGGTAAATGAATGAATGAAGAACTGATCTGGGGTGACTTGTTGTGGGGTGCAAATTAATCAAAGAATTTATTTGCAGTGATTTGGATAAGGAAATGGTTGCCCTGCCTTCTGTGGCATTTAAATTATAAAAATCTGCATCTATACACATACGTCTTCATATGAAAATTGGTTTCTATGGGACCAAGCCTCAAATCTTTTATGTTCCTACTGGTGCCCCTGAGGAACTGATCGCAAACTAACAATGAATATGTTTGCTGCCAAATAATACGTTGAAGGGGGGGGGGGGGAGAAAGTGAAGCTTGGCTATATCTACATTCATGTCAAACATTTCAACTTTTTTAAAATGGCTATGTACAGTAACCAGATTACATGTGGGTGGGTGAGACTAGAATATGAATTAACTCGGCATGCATATATGTTATTGGTGAGAGGGGAGATTGCATTTTGTAACTTTTTTTCCTGTAAAAAGGAGAAGTGTCTGATTGTATTGGCATTATTTTCATAGCAAATTGAATGGCTTGAAAGAAATTGCCCAACGGGACATGTAAGGACAGGTGTTTGATTTGAAATCTCAAAGCATTTGTTATGCAGACTGCACGATGGCCCTGTACTGAGAATGGTGTTCCTTCTATAGCTTCCCCAGAGTCCTTATTTCAAGGAACAAAAACCTTGCACAGCTCATCTGATCCCCAGGTCATCTGCCCACATTGCAGGCTACAGAGAATGTGGGCCACCCTCAATTTATCTTACTAGCAATATGCTCTTTGTACCAACTAGGGCTGAGCCAAAATGCTGGGTAGGGTGCTATCTTTGTAACTACCCCAACAAAGTTCTTCACCATACATCCTTGAGTAACAGGGTGAGAGAATGGATCACGTTATGGATTGTAAATAGCTAAATAGGGAAGAAGAGGTGAATTGTATGAGTAAATGGATAACTTTGATTGTAAGCAATAGAATCCCCCCCCCCCAATCCGTATGGAGGAGGAGCCAGTTTTGCTTAATGTACAGTGGTACCTCGGTTTACAAACTTAATCTGTTCCAGAAGTCTGTTCTTAAACCAAAACCATTCTTAAACTGAGGTACGCTTTCCCTAATGAGGCCTCCTGCCGCCAGTGCCCTTCCACCATTTGGTTTCCCTTCTTATACTGAGGTACAGTTCGCAAACCGGGACACTACTTCTGGTTTTGCGGAGTTCGTAAACTGAATAGATCGTAAACAGAGCTGTTCTTAAACTGAGGTACCACTGTATTCATAAATGATCTGGAGTCAGATAAAAGCAGTGAGAGGTGACAAATTTGTGGATTATACCAAATTACTCAATATATTGAACCCCCAGGCAGACTAGGAATAACTCTAAAATACCACCCCAGGCTGGGTGAGTGAAAAACAAAATGGCTAATGAGATTCAATGTGTGGTATGCAACTAAATTTCACTCAGAGTATACCCACTAAAATGAATGAACATGACTAAGCTAAGTCTATTCATTTCAATGGGTCTTGTCTGGGTAAAACTTTCCAATGTTAAGTGGGAAGTGAGCCATGCTTAGGCAAGAAAATCAGTCATGCTTATGCATTAAAATGGCAGCAAAAAATAAAATTTTAAAAAATCCAATTAAGAGATATCAGGAATGCGATGAGTACAGAGTTAAATGAAATCATTGACTCAGTATGCGGCAGTGGTGAAAAGGCAATTATTGAGAAAGGAGTATAAAAGAAACAGGCTGGTGCCATAGTGTCTTGGTATACAGGAATGGTGTGGTCATGCTTGGAATATTGTGTATGGTTCTGCCCATCCCATCTCAAAAAGAGTATCACAGCTGGAAATGGACAGACAAAATGGGATCAAGGAGATGGAGTGTCACCAGGATCCCATGAGCTTCATTCAGGTGTCTACGGATTTGCCGTTGAAGACAGTAGACGGTACATTGCATACTTATTTTGTTGCTTCTTTTATTTCTTGTATGTCTATAGCATTCAAACAGAAATACAGTGGTACCTCAGGTTACATACACTTCAGGTAACATACACTTCAGGTTACAGACTCCGCTAACCCAGAAATAGTACCTCGGGTTAAGAACTTTGCTTCAGGATGAGAACAGAAATCATGCTCCGGCAGCATGGCAGCAGCGGGAGGCCCCATTAGCTAAAGTGGTTCTTCAGGTTAAGAACAGTTTCAGGTTAAGAATGGACCTCTGGAACGAATTAAGTTCTTAACCCGAGGTACCACTGTACAGTGGAATTCTAAGGAATAAAAGAAGCAATAAAATGCAATTATAATTATTCTGACATCTTGCACAGCACAGTACAATGGCTACACCTGGCAGAAAAATTCACCGAGCCCCTCAGCAAGTGGTTCATGGGAGGAAAAGTTTAAGAACCCCTGACCTATACTGTTGACTGGCCAAAGTCACTGTTGAGAACAGACCAAAGAGAGTCTTTTCCATGCAATGAACAATGAATTTGTAGAATTCACTTGTACAAAAAAAATTAAAAATGATGATGTCTGCTTACTTAGGAGGTAGACAAATTCATGAGGATGTCAAATTAGCAATGGAACCTCTATGTTCAAAGGCAATAGAACTCCGAATTTTAGTTGCTGGGGAGAGTTGTCTTCATATGGGCTTCCAGGAAGCAGGATGTTTGACTGGACTCAGCAGGGCACTTAGGTTATGAATGAGTTGGGGCCTGGGGGTTTTATTTATTTTTTAAAATCCAAGATGACATCAGTTGTGCAGGGTGTGTGATCTGGTAGAATTTAGACCCAGAAAGATTTTGCAGGATCCAACTAAGGGTGGAGTGAGGAGATGGAACAGAGACTGGAGGGGAAGAATCCTGAATTGTTTGCATGCTTCCACTTCTGAGCTAGAGTACCAAATCAAGTGGGGTGGGGTGTCTTGTAGATCTCTATCATTATTCTTAGCAACAGTCTCAGCCTCTTGTTTACAAAGTAGCAGAAGGTAAGTGCTATACCGCAGCTGACTTGGGATATCCTTAATCAGAATTTTATGTGTGTGTTTTCTTTAGTTAAACCAGTTGCATGGGGTTTCTAATCTGATTAAGAAAGTGGTGCTGTGAGGTGGGGTGTTTAACCCTTTCCCACCTGCTGATCTGAATCACCCTTCTGAAGCTGCTATTTGCCCAGTCAAGTCAAATGTAGCAATATGGTGTCTGTATGATTTCCTCTTGATGGGCAAATGGGATGGGAGTATGACTGAACACCTCTTCCCTCAGGACGAATTTCCCCAGTCACAGTCCCACGTGACTGCTGCTTTGAAGGAAAATAAAAGAAAAACAAAAAGCATGTGTCTAATTTAGTTGAGCCCGAAGCAATACACAACTATGATCAAGTTAATTTAGGTGGCAAGTTCCTTATGTCAGGGAATTTATTGCTTAAAAAAAAGAATACAGAATGGCAGAGAAGACACACTTTGCATGCAAATGGTTCAATCCCTGGGAGCTTCAGTTTAGTAGGGATGGGGGACCCTGTAGCCCTTCAGAGGCTGCTGGACTTCAAGTCCCATTAGCTGCAGCCAGCATGGCCAAAGGTCAGGGGTGATGGAAATTGGAGTCTAGCAACATATGAAGGTCAAGGGTTCCCCATCCCCAAATTAAACGGATGAGTGAAATGCCCATCTCTGCCCAAAGCTCTAGAAGAGCTGCAACCAGTTGAAATAGATAGTCCTGTGATAAGATGGACCAACAGTCTGTATCAAGAGAGCTTCATGTTTTCCTTGAGGATGATATATAGAAGCATTCCCTTTTGGCAACTGTATGGAATGCACAGAACCATTTGTACAGGGCTGATCAGACAACATCCACCATGCCACCATGGTCACTTGAATGGTACGACCATTGCAGATGGGTTGTTTCCTTTCCGTGCAATAATATTGAATTAAAGTGGAGCAATATTCACTCATTGAACTAGCACATCTGCTGCAGGACACAGTAGGGTTTCCATCTCACCAGTGGCTCTTGGGTCTTGCTAAGAAGGGGAGAGCCCTAGCTCAGTAGGCAATGGTGCGTGTAGAAGGTCCTATTGTCAAGCAGGATAGGGAAAGTCCCTACCTGAAACCCCCCAGAGTCACTGCCTATCAGTGAGGGCAATAGTGAGTCAAGATGGGGCCAATGATCTGACTCAGTATAAGGCAGCTTCGGAGGTTCCTAAATCAAAGCTAGGAAGCTCTGAGAGCCAGTCAACATTGTACACTGTGGAAGGATCTGGGACTAAGTAACTGCTCCAGACACTGATCTTTGGCTGAAGCTTTTTCAGATGCACCACCGTCTAATTTCTCCCCTAAAAGGGAACATCATCAGCATTTCCCCCAACCCCAAAGCAATTCAATAAAGCCAGGGTGATTTTATCACTGCATATTAGAGGATGGGAAGGGTTAGAAAGGGCAAAATGACATAATAAAATGTGTACAGTTGTCACCTGATTAAAGCAATTTTAGTCAATGATGTGAAATAAATAAATCTGCATTGTGTGTGTGTGAGAGAGAGAGAGGGGGGGAGGGGGAGAGAGAGAGAGAGAGAGAGAGAGAGACTGAGACTGGATGAGCAACTGGGTCTTGTGGAACCTTCAACACAACAAATTGCACCATAACCTTTCCTTGACTAGAGCCAAGCATAATCACTTCCTCATTAGTCTTCGAGTGGGTAGGGACTCTCTGCCCCCCCCATATCTTTTGGGACTCTTAAGTTTCCTCTGCCCCAGGCACAATGGCCAATGGTCAGGGATGATGGGAACTGCAATGCAACGCCAGCTGAAGGTCCCCAGGTCCCCCTCCCTTTTAAGGTGCCTCAAGAGACTTGGTCCTTCTTCCTGTAATGGATCAAGAGGCCTCCATCTTTTGACGTTGCTCTCTTGGAGGAGGCATCCCCTCCTGGATGGCAGTGAAGGGGGAAGCTGGGGCTTGCCATTTGCAGTATCTGTAAACACTAGATTAAACTTTTTTAAAAAGTGTTGTCCAGTTATTCTGGGATGCCTTTCTAGATGAATGAAAAGGCTTTCCACCTCATTTTGTATTCAGAGGTTGCAGGCATCCCTGGGGTGTCTTATTTGGGGACAGTTTAGAGGGGGAACAGAACTTCTCCACCATTATAGGTGTGTGGATACCACAGGAATGATGAAACCATAGATTCATACTGTAAAGTTACTGGTAAGGGAAAGCAGAAGGTGTATTGTGGGTTTCCCCAATAACGTGGTGCAACTGCAAAGGAGTTAACTTTGATTGACATCCTGCCCGTTAGCTGAAGTTTAGCAGAATTATTTCTGCGAGGAGAGAGATGGCAAAGAAGCGGCAGAAGGGATCCCAATAAAAGCACCCCGAGCAGGGCAAGCAGATCGCTCTCTGAATGACCGTGCCGGCATTTTCCAGAACGGATTGTGACACGATTATTACCGAGGCATTATCGTAACCCGGTATAATATGATTATCAAAGGAAACCATCTCTCTGGATAATCCCGGACAAGATATTTAGGCAATCGCTTTGATCCGTCTAACGAAATGAGCCTCGCAAGACATTCCCCAGATCAGCTGCGGAGAAACAAAAGCGGGCTAATCAGGCTAATTGCCTTGATCAATTTCTCCCTGTCTTGGTCCTCGACTCGCATGTTTAAAGATCAGCCGTCGTTCGCCCCCAAATCTTGACCCGGGTGAGTGAGCGTCAAACCTTGGATCTCACCGCGGCGCCACCCAAATCGCTCGCAAGTGGATCTTCTTTTAAAATACGAGGGTGCCACTTAAGACACAAACCACTTGGGGAATCTCGTCCCCTGCAGACAGAGCCTGCTTTGGGCTGTCAGAAACCTAGCTTTGCGAGGAAGGCTCGCTTTAGATTCCCTACAAAGTGCAGAGCAAACTTCTTCCCTTTTTTTGCAATGGGTGGGGACGAACGAAGGGGCTTGGGACTGAGAGGGGGCTTGGGACTGAGAGAGACTCCAGAGGACGACCACTAGCGATTTCTGGAGCCTTGGAAAGGGGAAAGAGGATGCGTGGATGGAAGGAGCAGCATCTGGGCTTACAAAGTGACAGTGTGTGTCTATGAGTTGCTCGCAGCTGGTCTATTTCACGGCTCCTCTTCCCAGCTGGGGAGAAAATCACGGCTGTGGAGGAGAGCGACCCACCCCCCAAAAACTGTTGTCATCATAACGTTATTTTGGGCAGCTGGAGATGGTTGTTTTTTCGGACACGGACATTCCAAGAAAGAGGGAGGGGGAGAGACAGAGAGAGAAAGAAGCGCGGAGATGAAACTAGGCTAGGAGAAGCGCGCCAGATGAAACTTACCAGGCTTGGAAAACGGACAGGAGGAAGAAGCCCACCAGAAGCTTAGCGGACATGATCCGAGCAGCGCAGCCAAGCGAGGGGAGAAATTGCAGCAGACCCAGAGGAGGAGGAGGAGGAAGAGGTTGCAGGAGATGTTCAGGCAAAGGGGAGGAGGAGGTATCTGAGGTGAGGGAGAGCAACCACGGGTATTCTCTTCTTTTTCCCTCTGTTGGCTGTTCCTTATTCCCAGTTCCGCGCGCTGCAAGGCATATCCCGCTTTTCCTCCACGTCTCCCATAAGGCAACCCCCACGACCCCCCAAGTGCAAAGCGAGCTCTCCCTCGATCCCAGGGGGACTCCGGATCCGAGGAGGGTCTGACAGGTGGTCCGAGGTGCTCCACAGCCCTCCTCCTTACCCCCTTCCCCTCCCCCACTTCCCCCCCAATTGTCTAAGCTGGTCAAGCAAGCTGCTGGTCCACGGGAGGGTCGCGTCAGCCAGCCATGCCCCTCGGCTGGTGGAGACACGTCCGAGGAGGAGGAGGAGAAGAAGCGCCTGCAGAAAGCACATCAGGCGTTGGGCAGGAGGAAAGCTCCGATCCCCGACGTGGGACGCTTCCTCCGGATCACCGAGGCTGCGTGGGGTCCCCCACTCCCTCCCTCCCCGGACGGCCAAGAGGTCCCTGGCTTGTTCCCGGGCAGCTGGAGCCACTAGGAGCTTAGATGGTGCCTCTCCATCCCTGAGGGTCAAAGTGCTCCAGAAGAAATGGAGGGGGGCAGTTGGAGGAGCGGGATGGGGGGTCTAGTTTCTCCCCAGCTTGACTAGGCGACGGCAACAGCAGCGGCAGCAACAGCAGCACCTCCCGGCGCCGCCCGCGCCTCGCGAGGAGGCTGCTGTGTTTGGCTGACTCCTCGCCAGGCGACCCACGCTGACAGTTAGTTGAGGAGCGAGCCGAGCTGAGCCTCGTCAACATTGCCTCGGATGTCCTTGCGAGAGCGGGGAGGTCCCTGCCAGCTGCAGGGATGGCCAGGCGAGCGCGAAAGAGGGCGGTCACATCCCCTCCACCCCACCCCCCCAACCCACCGCAGCTTTTGGCAAGACTTGGCAGCCAGGGATGGGCGACGAGGAGGAGGAGGCGGAGGAGGAGGACCCTGAATCAGAATCTGGTGGGCCAAGCAGGATCCTCTCTGGATCTGGAGACGAGTAAACACGAGCGCCGCTGCTGCCATCCGCCCACTGCTTGATCCGAAATAGAACTCTCGAGCGCAGGAATATCCAGGCAGGGAATGAGGTGAGCTAGTAGCTCGCGCTCAGGAAGGTTTGCGCAGGTTTCTAGTCCGCATGAAAACAGGGATTTCGAAAGGGAACGGGCATTTCCCTCTCCCCCGCCCATTTAAAAAACAACAAACCCGCAGCAATAACGTATTCTTTACTCCCCGAGGAAGGGAAGATGAAAAGTTGATCCAATTCCCCTTGGCTACAAACAATGGCACCGCGCCCCCAAGTCACAATACGAAGAGAATGCCAATAGCTGAAACGCTTCTCTGGAGCAACTGTGCTGAGCTTGCTGTTGCGGTGGACTTTGAGAGGACTAACCCCATCCTCGACAGCCTGGGGTAGCTTTGGAGAAATCATTTAGGTTCCTTTGGCTGAAAGAGATTGGTAGCCACCGACTCCAAAGAGATTCTAAAAGCATCACCAACCTGTTTGCCTGTGTTGCTCTTGTAACGTCTGAACCCTGCTATCAGGGTAAGTAAGAAAAGGACCCTGATCTCCTTAAAGCTACTCAGCTATATTATAAGGACTGTACATCAATGGAACCTACAGTTAACTCACATGGAAATCAACGTATATTCCTACCTTTTTTATTGCATCCATATCCCATCCTTTTCTCCAAGGAGTTTGAGGCTGCATACATGGTTTTCTCCCTCCTCATTTCATCCCCACCACAACCCTGTGAGGAATGTTAGGCTGAGAGGTAGTGACGGGCCCAAGGTCACCCAGTGAGCTTCTTGGCCAAGCGGGGATCTGAACCCTGGTCTCGCAGGTCCTGGTCTGACACTCAAACAACTAGGCCACAATGGCTTTAATTATTTGTCGATAACTTGTCTCAGTGACTTCCATGGGATTTAACCCAGACTCGTAAGGCCTAGTGATCATACCGGGTGATGAGGTTCTACCATGCAGAAGTGGTAGAGCAAAGAATGTCACTTCAGAGTCTGCAGACTGAATATTGTTTGGAACACTCCCATGTGTTATAATCCCACGCAAATAGAAAACTACCACACTAGAGACAAAGATTCAGTTTTTTGCCTGCTGTGCTGGGTTTCTATTTGGAAGGAGGTGTGTTTTTTTTTGTAGGGAAAGCTTTCCAAAATATGAGGACATTTTCAGAGGCTCAGCCTTCCACCTCTTCCTGATTCATTTGTAGATCTGCATAGCTTTAGTTGAGTCAGGACAATCTAAGCACTTTAAAGATTCACATCACTGAGACGTACTCTGCATCCTCATTTTAAAATGGTTTTGTCTGCTGTTGTCATAAACCATCACAAATATATGAAAAGGGTGGAAATGCTATTTTTATAAAAGGGTATTTGCTCCCCCCCCCCCAAATGGTTGGATTCCTGGGGAAAATAAGGTGTTTATCATTCTATTTCATTCATATTGCAGTTACTAGATCAGAGAGAAATGTGAGTTGCAAGGGGGGGAAAGTACAGTACAGTGTTAAAACTAAGGAGATAAAAAGCCCTATCATTTAAATACTAACAAATAGATAAAAAGTTATGTGCACATGTAAACTTAAATAGGATATAATGGAATAAAAACACAACACACCATAGGTTTATTAGAAGCAACTCACAATCATAAATCAGAGTTTTAGAGTTCTGCAAAACACTTCATTAGGCTTCATTTTTAAAAAGAAAACAATTCCCCCAACAGAAATATGTGGTGTCAGAGCTGGGGGTGGAATGTTCAGGATGCTCATAAGATCACAGATTTCTCCGGGCTGTACAGAGACCAATAAAGCCACACATGCACACACCCCTCTCTTAGGGGGTATAAAAGCTTTCTCAAAGAAATAGTCATTGCTTCTTTGTTCCATTCTGCTTTTGGTGCCATCTTTTTCACTGGCTATAAAACCAAGCTCATTATTCTGTAATAATGAAGCCATGGCTTCTTCTATGCCCTCTAACAGCATCTTTTCAGGTGTGGAACATCAGCCCCCCCCCCCAGGGTAGGGTAGGGGCAAATTATAGACCTCTAGGCCTCTCTATCTGACTCGCTGAACTCTCTTCTGGGCCACACCCCTCTGATGTTTCTTCATCCCCTCCCCCACATTTTTTATTGTTGTTGTTATTTTGGCCTGGCTGAAAGGTGTGATGGCCTGGGAATCCGATTCAGAGGCTGAACCGGAGGAATCCCAGCCTGCACAGGAGTCCCTGCCTCCAGGGCTGGCTGAACTGGGGCAGGGCCTTGACTCTGAAGCGCCTGCACCTGTGCCGGATCCTCAGGAGCAGGCACCAGGTGAATCCACTCTGGCTCCGGAGGTGGTTGAGGACTCAGTGCCTACAGGTGAGTCTCCTCCTGGGCCCAGTAACCCTTCACCCTCTCCTGAACTGCAGAGGCTCAGGGCAGAGAGGCGGAGGGAACTGGTTTCTCCCAGGAGGAGTGCTCGCCTTAAGGCCAGGAGAGGCAGGTCTCCTGGGGGCCGGGACCGCCCCTGGCCTCAGAGAAGATAAAGGCCAGTCAGCCCGGTCCCAGGTTGCGGGAGAAACGTCATTGAAGAGCTGTTTCGGCCAGCACCCAGTCCGGTTCCCCCAGAGTTCCTGTCCTTGCCCGGCTCCTCGCTGTGGACCCCGCTTCGCCCATGGAGGACTGTCTGCCGACCTTCGACTCAGGTCCTGGACCTCGCCCCACGGTAACCTCCCCCCTGGACCAGCACAAAATGTGTACTTGAACTCTGATGACTACATCTTGCTTGTCTGGATGGAAGGGTGCGTGCACAAACCAGCCTACTGAACAAATGTAAAATTTACCTTAGTTGCTCCGGCTACATGCATCGCTTGCACTGTATGTTGGAAATGTTTCTCCATCCCTGTAATGTGTGGGATATGATCCATGAGAGACAGTCAAGTACAACATTCCTTGTAATGCTAGAGAAGACATGTGAGGGAATGTTTAGTCCAGCCAGTGGAAACTTCCTGTTCCTCCTGGCTGGAGCATCCTTCCTTTGCATGCGATAGAAGGTGGGCATGACCTAACCTGTCCAGGTAACAAAAGGACAAGTCACGCAGCACACTCCCCTCCTTTTTGACTTCCTTCTTCGTTTGACCAGCTTTTAGCTAGGACTGTTCTGCTAGCTCTCAGCTAGCAGAAGCACTGGGATTATTGCCCCATATGGGGTAGATCCACATGCATATATTTGTAACTAAGTCTACCTTTAGGAATCCAACTGTGAACGGATGTGAGTAAACTTCTTTTATTGTCTTTGAATAAGATTTTGGTGTCTTTATTCTTTTAAGAGGGATTCAAGGGAACTTTCCAGGAACGTACAATTCAATCTGAGACAGACTGAATTGTATAATAGTGAGAGGCTCACACGAGCCTGCAACCAGCTATCTGCTGTGCATGTAAAAAGGGGAATAGAACTCTGCTAAGTAAAGGAACTTGCTAGCACAAATTAGGAAGGATATTAATAAACAATATATCCTCTCCTGCCACCCTGAACGTTCCGACAAAATAAAGATACAATAAGGATCCCTGGTTTCCTGCCGCCCTCTCATGTACCAACACAGCTACCTGATTATTACTATTATTTGCATCAGAAATAATTAACTGGGGAAACGCCCATACTACTGAATGGGAGATCTGTCATTGATGTCCACAGATCAAACTTTTGTTGCTGTTGTTAATTAATCTCTACTTATTTAGGAGTAAGGGCTCCTCCACACTTCCTCTTGTCTCACCAATTTCCCCTGAAGAAACCCACTCTTTCCCACTGAATTGGAGCAACACCAATCAAGTTTTCCTCAGATTGATGCTTGCTCCAATTCAGTGGTAAAGAGTGTGTTTTCCAAAAGAAAGCAATGGAGCGAACAGAAAACCACTCTGACTCATGCCTAGAAAGTATGGGACCAGCGGATAACCACTCAGACACGTGCCTTCCGGGCACAGGAGAAGCAGAAATGTGGGTGAGCTCTAAGTCCCACTGAGATCAATAGGATTGCACCCTAAAGTCTGTTGGTTTTAATAGGGGAAAATTAAGTTGTAATATATGAGCTCAAATTTGATGGCTTATGCCTTCCTCCCTTTTAACTGGATGCCAGTAGGTTGTTCTCCCATATAGAACCACAGAACTAGCCCCAGATCAGTTGAGAAGTGAAAGGTAAGGGAACTCAAATGCATGTCTTTGAAAATGAGTTGCTTTTTTAACAACAGCTTTTCTTAATTAAAGTTGTCTGTTTTTATATTGATTGATTGATTTCATTTGTTGCACAGCTCTTCATGAGAATCCCGGAGCAGTTTATATAATAAAACCACAAGCAAGCAAGCAAGTTCACAAATACAGTTAAGCCACATGTGTGTTCAGCCTTCAAAATACAGCAGTGCATCAAAGCCAATTGTACCACCATGTAGCAACAGAAGCAGCTCTGCTTGGTCTACACTATCATAGAGGTCACTGGGAGCAGCCACCAAGATGTCCTTCACTTGAGTTCCCACCAACTGCGCTGCAGATATTGGTAGGACAGAGAGAAAAGGCCTCATTCACTAAGCACAACCTGCATTTTTTCAAGCATCAGAAGTAGACAGTCATTCTAAAAGTAGCATGAAATGCAAAATAATTTGTGCTTATTCATTTATCTTAGGCTGCGACCCTACAGTTGGTGGGAGGGCTTCTGGGTTTGGGCGGGTTCATAGGATGTTTTGGATCTCTCTTTCTGAGAGAGAGAGAAAGAGAGAGCGAGAGAGAGAGAGAGAGAGAGAGAGAGAGAGAGATGTTCACCCTTGTGAAGTGAGATCTAACTATGTGCAGTCTAGCCTAAAGGTAAAGGACCCCTGACAGTTAAGTCCAGTCGCAGACGACTCTGGGGTTGCAGTGCTCATCTCGCTTTACAGGTCAAGGGAACCGGCATTTGTCTGCTTCACAGACAGTTTTTCCGGATCATGTGGCCAGCATAACTAAGCCGCTTTTGGAACAATGGAACACTGAAACCAAAGCAGCGCACAG